CAGCTGCTGCTACTAAATGTCAGATTAGTAATAACCTGTAATAAGGCCTTCTTCATTTGTGATTTAATCATGGATGAGAGGGCTGACTTGGCATGTACTGCTGACACCTGGCTGGGCCCAGAAAATGGGGTGATGGTGACCCTTTGGGAAATGTGTCCAGCAGAGATTTGGGTGTGGCATCAGCCATCAGTGTGCCATGGTACCCATCCAGTGGAATATCATTCCCCCAGAGGTGAGACTGGCCCCATCCTTGATATCCTTCCGCAACTCCCTGAAAATGTGGTTGTGTCAACAGGTTTGGGGATCTCAAGGAAATGGTGTGAACTAATGAGGAGCCTACATTGCCTGTAATATTGAATGTTCTCCTTAGACTTTTAATAATAATACTGATGCTTTTAATTGTGGAATGTTTTTTAATATCGTTCATTTTATGGTTTGTTTTTTATTGTATGCCACCCAGAGTCACGTTTTGTGAGATAGGCAACTACATATAAGTATGATGAAATAAATAAATAAACCAAAACCATGAGCACTAACACTACCTTTATTGTAAGGCTACAGTAACAGAATCTTGCAAGTCTGAAAGCGCTTCCCCCCTCCCCTGCCTTTACATTCCAGAGGACGAGGGAGGGTCCCTTCTGAGATGCTTCCCAGGCCCTCATTGCTGCTTTGGACTCAGATTTCCCTTATCAGACCATTTTCTAGGCTGCTGCTCTTCCTCCTATCTCCCAAGGTTATTCTCACAGCCCATTACAGAACGCAAGGGCCAGCAACCAATAGAAGATGAGATGGGCCATTACGAAAGCAGGTAATTTCAGGAAAAAGGCCACTAGGTTAATTTGTTGGATAATGGGGAAGGGGCCAATAAACTTGACTCCAGTTTTCAGGATAGAAGGCAGAAACCTAGTTAAGCCATATCAAATTCCCCCACTGCAATTTTGGCACCCTCCTGTTTGTAGGCAGCCATTGCCAAACCTAGCTCTTCCTTTACTGAACAGCCTATCTCTCCTGCGGGAAGTCTCAGGCACAAAGTGCGGATGCTGGAGTTCTGGAGGGCAAGATATGGAAGTGGAAACTATAGGGAGACATGAATATGTGGAAATGCACCAAGTTATTTATAGGAAAATTCTGCAAGAGGCAACAATCTAATTATCCTGATGATAAGAGGCACAGCACCTTATGCACTGTTCTAATATTTGGTTCATCTTCTCTGTTCATTATATATTTGTCCAAAATATCAGAAATTAATAGAAGATAATATGTGTAGCTCAGGGTTGAACTGTGGAGTCCTTGGGGTTCTCTGAG